AACTTTTGTAAACTTCTAAAACCCATTAAAAACCCTTGTAAATCCTTAAAACCCATTTTAAAGAACTTGTAATACCTTTAAAAACTTTTGTAAACCCTTCAAAAACCTTTGTAAACTTCTAAAACCCTTTAAAACTTCTTGTAAATCCTTTAAAACTATTTTTAAATCTTTGTATGCCTTTAAATATACTTTTAAATCCTTTTAAAAACACTTGTAAATCCTTTTAAAAAACCTTTAAAAATCCTTGTAAATTTTTAAAATCCTTTAAAAATTCTTGTAAATCCTTTTAAAACTGTTATAAACTTATAAAAACTTTTAAAAACCATTGTCAATCATTTAAAAACCATTTAAAAACCTTTGTAGGCTTCTAAAACTCTTTAAAAACCATTACAAGTCTTTTAAAAACCATTTAAAAACTCTTGTAAATCCCTTTAAAACCCCTTATAAACCCTTTAAAAGACCCTTTAAAAAATCTTGTAAACCCTTTAAAAAAATTTGGCGGGAAAGTTTTGAAAAAATATTTTTTTTTGCGGGAAAATGTTTTGGCGGGAAATTTTTGGGGGTGGAAATTTTTGGAAGGAATATTCCTTCCTTTGGGAAAGAATATTCTTTCAAATAGGGGTAAAATAGCCATTAAAAATTAAGAGAGGGCAAAAATGAAAATGGTAAAAAAAGAGGGTATTTTTAAAAGAGGGTATCATAAAAAGGTTATTGGTATCAATTTCTCAAAAGATAATAATGCAAATGACTAAATTAAAATCTTTGAATTTTCATTAATACCCAAACTTTGATACTATGCAAATACCAACCTACACTCGTTAAAAAAAAATCAAATTGTCAACCTCAATCTATATATATAATGGGAGAGTTCTCTCTCCCTCTAAAGTTGTCCACATCAGCATTTTTTCTATTTTTTGTGACAAATCATCTAAACTCATATATTTTGTTAATCATTCTATTGTCTTTTGGCATGTTAGTTTGTAACTTAAGCCCCAACACTTTTACATCCAAATTGGGTTTTTGGCCTCTTCCATAACCCATGTCATGTTCATGTATATGTTTTTTTTTTTTTTTAACGCTGATAGATTCAATATTATTAGAAAATGAGTCTGCATAACAAAACCATAAGCCATAAGATGGAAACCAAAAATCGTAAAGGAAAAGAAACCAAGAATTAAACTCCACGACGTTTGTCCCTTTCAATCCGGTCATGAAGCCAAGACGGACCACCAAGCGCTAGATGCGAAGTTAGTCGACCATCCCGTGTAACGCTGCAACCAATCTCCCTAGCCAATAAATTAGCTTTCGGTGAAGAAAGGTGAAAAGAAACCTTCCGCATCACCCGTATTACTTGCCCGATCTTAGATAACGATGCACGATATTTAGGCCAAGAAACTGGATTTGTGATAGCTTCCCAAGCTGCCTTACAGTCCAACCAAACTTCACAAATGTCATAATGAAGATCATGTAAACTAGATAAGCAGCTCCGATGCAATACGATTATAACAAGGCCGAAAAGCATCTCTCGCATGAAGCATAACATCTCCTTCATGATTACGCAAGACCCAAGCTCCACCACTAAAAGAAGATTCATTTATCCAAGATGAATGAATATTGCATTTGAGCGTCCCATACGGCGGATGAATCCACAGTTTTCCGGTTGCCAAGAGTACTCTACCACCAACCCAGAACTCATTGTCACGGTTTCCTTGTTGTTGACACCATTCCTCCATGTCTCTTAATGTCGTGACCAACACGATATGGGGGTTTATAGCTGATTACTCGAGTATTTAACCCGATAACTTAACCGAAGTAAAGTATATGAGGGATCGATCACAAGGAGCAATGGTACACTAAAGACTTTCGAGACTCGTTATCAGCTAAAGCGGAAAGACTTGTTGTTTGTTTTTCAGTTTTTGTAAATAAAAATGCAAATAAAGAGATTAAACTTATGAATTTAAGACATTGGGCTGCAGGGTATTTTCAGAGAATCAATGAATAACAAATAAAAGCAATAAGGAATTCAAACATGAAGAACCGTTCTTGAACATAAACAGAAGTTTAGACTAATTCTCTCTCAAGACATTAGCCACTAAATTTTAACTATTCAATTACTAAACTCTCATTTGTAATTTCCTAGCCAAATTTGCATTATCAAACAGGTTCATTTGGTTCACAAAGCGTTCTAACATCAACTCTCGCAGGTTAGAAGTACAATGCTCAATTTACATTCATTCAGTCATTTTATCGAACATCTCTGAAACACATAAAAGCCTAAGTTCTAAAACAGGGTGATCAATCCTATTCTAGCATTGAGAACATGTAAATTGAAAAACCTAGTGATTAAGAATTCCCTAAGACAATTAAATCTATCAAATCATTGAATTCTCCTACTTGAAACCCTAAAACCCAATTTAGAGACTACTCAGACATAACAATTGAAACAAAGCAAATAGATTTTAAAGGAAACATGATTAAATAGATTAGAATAAGAAAAAGATTTAGAAATCTTCTCCAAGTGTCAAGAGGATGGATTCTTCTCTCAAAATTGTTTAGAAAGCAAAGAACAATATTTATAACTCAAAAATATGAAGGATAGCTGCTAAAAGTCGAGCCTAGGGTATAAAAACAATATGAGACGAGTTGGATCTGTTTTGGATCGAATATGGGCCAAAATCTGCGTCAGAGGTAAGGGACCGATCGATCCAACAGTTAGACCGATCGGTCTATTGCTCCCAGGTTTTACTTCTGCATCAGCTTCAACAACTCGGCAGAATGACCTGTCTTCACGAAATCGGGTGTAGCTCTTGAATGTACCGTTAGATTTCGTTGAAATCACTTGCAAATGAAAGCTAACATCCGTCATCATCTTGTGTCAAAATATAAGAAAGATCTAACGGTGGAAAGTTGTTTATCTGATCCCAAACATCTGACAATTTTACATGAATTTGCACTCCAAATGTGTGTTTGCTTCCCAAAACAGCTCGTTTTATTCCAAAGCAACCTAAAACCTGTAAATACTCTATAATGGAATAAAAGACTCTTAAAACAAACTTTGACTCAATAAAAGTTATAAAATGAAAAAGAAAAGAAAGACTTAAAACCGATAAAAACACAATATATCAACTCCCCCCGACTTAGATTCTTGCTTGTCCTCAAGCAAAACAAAAATCTTAATCAAGAGATGAGGTTTGAAAACGTGAGAACTCACATATTCTTTTGGGATCATGCTCTTAATCAATTGCCTGCAAACCACTAACACAAAATTTATATCAAACCGTACAATAATGTACTTCACCATGACATCATGAGACCCCTAAATCACAAAGAAATTCAGAATCAGATAACTTAACCTTTTAACATTCATTAGCAGTTTCGTGCACTCTCACAAAGGGGATATCGAACACGTTATGGTCTATGTGTAAAGGCAGGTTTAGGTGGCTCAAGTGTTTAAGGTTCAGTAATAATATAAGAACGGATGCAAATCATTATGCAAAATCACAGTGAGACACAGACCAATTGGGAGGTACATAACTTCCGTCTAGCTTGGATCACCTTAACCAAATCAAACCCCAAACAAATCATAAGTATTATAGATGCTTTTCAAATACAACCAAAGACATATCGACTTTTCCGGTTCCATTCTTTCTCCTTTCCCGTTCTTTTCTCTTTCTTTTTTTTTTTCATTTTTTTTTTTTTTTTTTGGACGGGGGAGTGGAACCGGTTCTCGTCTCACAAACTGCATCAACAAAACTCAATCATGATCGCTCACAGCACATGCTCATAAATATGACAATATAACCACAAGAACTCAATGTCAATCATCCCAAACAACTACAATTACAATCCTAACTAAAGGAAAGCTATGTCGGTCTGTATACTCCGTAGTTTTTGCACATGAATCACATGATGACAATGACATAAGAATGCATGTGGTATGAAGCATGGATAGGGTTAAAGGTGTGGTACTAGACTAAAGATGAGTCTAGCCATTCAGAGTTTACAAAGAGTGGTAAAACAACGCGGATTAAACTCTGAATGTATTATCCATTACATGATTACCAACCCCTTAAGTGAGATATAACAAGTCAAGATTAAGTTCAAATAAGAAAGGTTAAGCTCAAATCATCCAAATGTCGAAGTGAGGGATTATACGAGTGATCTAGTCATGAATTTTCCTGAAGTTCCAAGTTATCCTTAAACAATGCTAAATGGTCCCAAGGCAACGAAATCAAGCAAGGTGCAATTCCCTAAGAAAAGCTCATAGTTCTCATACAACATTTTGACTCAATAAAGCAGACACGATTTGACTCGATAAAACAAACTGACAGACTCAAGAAAACATCAAAATGAAAAATAAGAAAAAGCAAATTGCATCAGTAGACTAGTGACATCCTCCCCTAGACTTGCTTCACACCGTCTCGGTGTGAGAACAATTCCAAAAGAAAACGTCACAACCAAATAGCAAGGCAGATGCAAAAAAAAAGAAGAAGAATAAAAACAAGAAAACTGACCTGGGACATCTGGTGGGTTGCCTCCCACAAAGCGCTTATTTTTGGTCTTTAGCTTGACCGCTCCACACAAAACATTAATCACAAGAATCAAAAGGTTGAGCCAATGCACCTTTAGTCCTTCTCCTGTTACCGCACACAACAATATGCACAAAGTAACACACAATTATCCATGATAAGGAGGCAAAATAACCATTAAATAAATTTACTACAAATGTAGCATATATCTTGAAATATTCTTTGATGGTTTGATGCTCATGAGGATCAAATGCATTTGGTGGAAATATAAAATCAATTTCAGGTCCTAACGAGGTTTTAACAAAATAGTCAACTTTATCCCCATTAATCTCATATAGCACAATATTTCCATCCATATAATCAACCTCAGCATCCTCAGTCACATGCAAGATGTTATCAATATCAAGCACAACTCCTAAATAAGATTCTTCAAGAAGAGATCTAGATATTTCAGGCATTGAAAACTTAAACTTGAGATCATGAACATTCAAAGCACAATGATATTCAATATCAAAACATATTTCATGGTAATCTCTAGCAAGTTTTTCTGCTCTAAAAGTATCTAGTTTTTGAGACTCACTTATCAAATCATAGCATTCACTGATAATCTTGGGAGTATGCAAACTAGAAGCAACATCTTCAATGCAAGGCATAGGAAAATCCTCAAAATCATGAATTTCATGGGTTGAAACGCATGTACCTTCTATGTCGCTCGGTGGAACCCAATATATTACCTTTTCAAGATCATGGGCTTCTTTGATCTCATAGCCTGTGAGTTGCCTTCCTTCATATGCTGCCCGCATCGGTACGAGTTTCAACCGGGTCATAGTCGCT